AGGTCCTGTGTTCTATAAGCTGAATTCTGATATCCGCAATGTTCCCATCTTATATTCGTTCTAAACTGATCTTAAAAAATGTCTCCTATCTTGTTATTGATTTATTTCTCCAAAATATTTATATTTTTTTTTATTCTGTGTATTGTGGGTTTAGTATTACCCTGTCCAACAAGTTCTGTTCTACTCCGCATATTAGAATTTTTTTTATTTTCTCTGACTGGGAAGCCCAGGCTTTAGAGGCCTCTTGCTTTCCTCCGGTCTTCCTTGCCAGTTTATAATTTTTCTATTTATTTAATTAATATGTATTTTACTTTGGCAAAACATAATATATAGATTTAGCCAGGGCTAAAAGCGAAGCTCTGGCTAATAATACGTGTAAACAAAAAAAAAATTAAATCGTGTAATGCTAAACGGGGAACGACAATGAAAATGGCTTCAAGACTAACAGATCTAATTAGCAGAAAAACAAATTGCACGTGCAGCACACTTTTTCTTCTAATTAGCAAAAAACAAATTTGCACGTGCAGCACGCTTTTTTGTCTTTCCCTTGCCGTTGTTTTGCACGACTACAACGCTGTTTTGTATGACTAAAACGTCAAACTTCCTAGTTACACACTATTTTTATAGAGAAATTGTCGTATGTGCTTACCCAATATTTTGTTTCCAGTGTTCATGTTCGCTTGCACTGCCGCTCATATTCACCTTGCTGGCCGCTAGTATTTTCTCATTTTCTCACCGCCGCTTTGAATTTCCATGTTTTTCTTCCTACGAATTTTCAATAACTCGCTCCAGCTCTTTCTCTGTTATCCACGTTAGTATAGACAAAAATTAACTCCGAAAAAGACACGACTTTTTTCTTTCTAAAAGTCCGGGAGGCCATGTGATTTCCTTCCAAATAAAACCTTGAGTTGCATTTGGGTTCCCATACCTGTTGATTGAGTTATTTTACATTGGTATGCCTGTGGTGCCGACCGACGGTCGCTCGCTCGATCGCTCGCTCGGTGTACGGTCACGTGATTACCAAATTTTCTGGAATGGGTAGATTACCACATTTCCTTAGCTATGGGGCTCCGCCCACGCGCGCGCTTCGCGCACGGGTGGAGCTCCGCTGTAAACTGAACTGAACTGACCTCTTGATGTTACCCTAGAGAGCGGTTTCCTTCAATTTTCTTTTCATTCCTGTGTATGAATGCAGGTTTATAAAACGATAAAGAGAACGTTCCCCTTAAGAACGTCATGTGGCCTGAAATAGATAAACAAAGAACATTAATTTACCTCACAAAATGGCTGGTCTGACATTTTTTTTCCTTTAAGAGTGTGCTTGAGTTTTTTTTTTTCCCGATTTTGGCAAGTATTATAGCCTGTTCCAGGCGTTCAGATCGTGGGGACAGCGGAAAGAGATGAAAGCAGAACAAGAAGAGAAAAAAACAACAACGAGGGGGTGGGATAGGGGTGAGAGCTCCCTCTCTTTCTTTTCCTCCTTATTTTTTTCTCGCTCTCTTCCTTCGCCCAGCACTCCACTATCCGAACGCCTGGAACAGGCTACAAGTATTAGTCACTTTGAGCCTTAATTAATGAAAACCAACAATGGGTTTTCTTTTTCTGGCTTAGTCTATTTTGAGCAATTAGTTAGCGTCAACTGATGCTAATTAAAATATCAAAAAGCGAAAGAGCTAATCGCATGTGAAAAATTGACATTTCTTGCATGCGGTCAAAAGCGTTTTTAATTTTGTCTCTCAGCTATGTTGGATCTCTCAAGAAAGCATTCCTGCCAACAGTTCTCTCAAATTTGCAGATTTTTGATATTTTAATGTTAATAGCGTTTAAATTGTATCCTATAACTTTTGCATTGGGTAGGTCATATGAGTGTGAGCTGCAAAAGGCCCACTAAAGGCGATATCAGTCGATGAATACGTGTCTCGTTTGTCATGTCAGGTCCTGCTATGGCACGCCAAGGTGATCGCATTGGTTGCACAGCGTTGTTTGACAGAGCAAGCAGACGGCAAAATTCCAGTTTTCTTTACTCTTAATGGCAGAGAGATAATTTTGCAAGGCGGAGAGAACCCGGGAAGTAGCCATATTTTCATGGACTTTAAGGAACACTTGTTCCCTTTCATTGGTATGACTGAAGGGACCAGTGTGTTGGCCAAGGTAAGGACTCTACTTGGAACTTTTCTTTCCGTTAGTTTTCTTTCATCCGGGCATTAATGTTTTATCGTGATCTATCGTTTATACGAACATCAACCACAAAGGACTGAAAAGGAGAGCAAACGAATACGCCGCAGAACGTAGGATCTATTTTAGGATCTATTTTGTTGTTGTTGTTGTTTTGCTGATCAGGTCTTTTAAGACCTGATCAGCAAAAATAGCAAGTAGACATATTTCATTCTGCAAGCAGACTGCTCGACTGCCGGTCAAGATGTTGAAAACACTAAATAACCGGCAGTCCTATATTTTCCGTAAATTTCACAGATAAAAATAATCCAGCTAAACCAAACTTTCATATGTCGATTAAGAAACAGTCAAGCGAAATGTGCTGAGAATATAGGACTGCCGGTCATTTAGTGTTTTCAACATCTTGACCGGCAGTCGAGCTGAAAAAAGTTCTAAGTGTCACAAAACGTGGTTTCGTCTTCTGAGCCCAGCGTAAACCAAACGCTACACTTGAGATCTATGAAGCATTTCAGGATCGCTTGACGGTTCTTAATCGACAAATGATAATTTAGATTAGTTGGGATTTTTCGATTTTGTGAAATTTACGGAGAATATAGGACTGCCGGTCATTTAGTGTTTTGAAAACCTTGACCGGTTACCGGCCATGTAGCCACAGCGAATAAAAATACCTGATGTACTTTTTTCAGAGATTGTGCACAACAATAGAAACATGCTGAATCGAAAGCATAAACCTTGGATATAACGCCAGATTATTTGCAACTATCACAAAAATCGACAAGTACATTAAATTTAACAACGAAATGGAAAAGCATACCTAATCTCGGAACAAAAATCTGATGGACGCTTCACTTTGAGAGGGAAATCTACTTCAATACCCGTGATACGCATCTGCCATTTTTGGAGCATGTGTTTCTCCTTGGCCTTGCCGAACAGAAACAATGGGTACCTGACGAGTTTACACCGAATAAGATCGGACAAAATCTCGGATAAAGAAAGGCGAGTACGAAAATTCCCGACTTTTGAAATGGCCACCATGTTGTGACGTCACATGGTTATCAAATTTGATAACGATCCTGGACTGATTATTGTGACTCATCAGTACGGCGCAACAAACATAGAGGCCCTGCTGAGAATTACCCGCTCACGCTGTTTTAGAGCCCAGGGGCCGGTTGCTCGAAGCCTGGTTAGCGCTAACCGTTGGTTAAGAGGTATCAAAATGTATAGGTTTCCATGGTATTTAACGCTGGTTAGCACTAACCATGCGTCGAGCAACCCGGGCGTGACATTTAACTACAACACTCACAGAACCACACGGAGTGAGCGGGTAATTTTTAACAGAGCTTCTCTGTTTGTTGCGCCGTACTAATGAGCCACAATAATGGCGAAACAGTTTTGGGTTCTTTCAGCGTCGTGTTTGTGGTCCTTTGCAGTCTTTTGTGGTTAATGTTGGTACTTTTTGTATTTTGGGGCCGTAGATCTATTTTGTAGATCCGATATGTTGTTCATTTTGGCATGGTTTTGCCTATGTTTCTAAGATTGTTTTTGTCCATCCTACATTTTCTTTGCGACACATCAACGTCTTGCCTTCTCGGAGACATGTGATATAGCTTGGATCTGTGAGCCTCTCTGTTTGTTGCGCCGTACTGATAAGCCACAGTACTTGGGTTGTGACAAAGTCGTCTGTCTGCCCGTCCGTTCGTACGTCCGCCCCTTTATGTTAGTGGATATGAAACGCCACACTTACTAGCTGGGAGTTCAAGGCATATACAGTAACATTGGATATCAATACTATAGTAAATTGACAGCTGTCAAAATAGGGTATCCACTGACCAGTATCTCATGACTGTATCGCGGCTTCAGGTATACAACTCAATGAGATGACGTGTTTTTAAAAGTTCTCCCCTGAAAAGTTACTTGGTTTTAATTGATGGCAGGCTCAGGTCCATTGTTTAGGAGGAGCTCAGTGTAACGCCTTCTCAGCTTTAGTTTCGTGACACATCACGTGATCGTTTAGATACGGGATTTTTTTTATTGACACGTGGACACTGAACTTGTGACTAGAACTTTCACTTGAACGTTCGATAGAACTTTCGGAAGAACACGCTCGCGTTGTGTGTAGGAACCTGACAGTCTTTGACGGTCAGTATGGTTTAGGTCTCATTCGAACTACCGTAAACATAACCTCTAAGTTCGTGTTTGTTGAGTTTTTCGACAACCGTGCCACAAATATTCGGACCAGTCTGCAGACTTTGTTAGACTTTTGGTTGCTTCACTACAGTTTCCTCGCGCCCCCTTATTACCCAGTAAAGGCGGCCGCTACAGTCAAAGACTACGAATTCCTCACGGAGAAAAACATGGATTCACAAAAGCATTACCCAGATCAGCAAAGTGACACTGGAATCGGACTAACACCAGAAAAATTTCACATTAAACCAAGCAACATTGGAGACATGCCAAATACTACGCCAGCGGAATTTCTGTTCAAACCAACCAGTCTCGGAGACATGCCAAATACAACATAGAAAGAAAATGTCGCCTTAACAGGAATCGAGGTTAGTGATTTGCCCTTTATTTCGTAGGAAGATGCATTGCCGCGTCCAACAATAGTTGAAATTTCGTCGAGTGAAATTACTGACATTACGGAGAACAACACTAGGCCCAGGACTCTCACGGGCAAGGGCCGAGAGTTCTGAAGCGGCTTGAAGAAAGCCGTTGCGCTGTACAAATATCGTGAATTGCGCGCCAGACTGAGTATTTTCGAAGAATTAGTACACTCTGGTCAAGACACAAGTAAAATTAAAAATGAAATCACCGTTATTACAACGGAAGTAAATGATACATTACAATTATTTGACGAGTGGATGGAGCTTTCAGATGATCCAACTGAAAATCAGCGTGCTAAGGAAAAGCAAGCCTATTTGGTGGATACATGGAAGTCAGTTCGTGCTGCAGCTGTAAACGCAGTGAAGAAGTCTCGAGAGGACAATGGCTCTGTTTTCTCTAAAAAATCTCGTCATTCGCGAAGGTCTAGTGTATCAAGCCGATGTTCATTCAGGGACACACTGATAAACGTAAGAGCTAAAAGAGTGGCCTTGGAAGAGAAATTGAAGTTTTCAGCAGTCATTGCAGAGCAAGAGAAAAAATTAGAACAGCTAAAGCTTCAAGAGAAACTTGGAGAAGTCTGGGCACAAGAGGCTGTGTCTCATAAGGCTGTGGAAGAAGAGGACAAAACGGACGACTTTCAACCTCCCTTGCTGCCAACCAGACAGTACGATCCCATTTCCGCCTTCCTGAGTGACAATGCTGAAGAGCTAACGTCAACACCAGAAGTTGTTCCTTCAGTATCAAAGAATTTTCAACCAGTTCCGACTGCGAGTGCTTCATCAATGTTTACGTCACCACCTCAGTTCGCAGTCTCTTCGTCTTCAATGCGGAATCCAAGACCTCAGCAGCTTCTTCAAGCAAGAAACCTCAAGATACTATCTATTCTAGTACACACACTAGATCTAGATTTGGAACACAGGCTACTTTAACCTGCACAACTTCTTCTACCAGCAACACAGTTTATTCTAGTACACACACTAGATTTAGCTTCGGAACACGGGTTCCGCCAACTTATACGATATCCTCTACGGGCAGCACAGTTTATACCAGCACTAACACGAGAGTTAGCTTTGGATCAAACGCGCCATCAACTTATGCCACACCCTGTACAGGCAGACCGGGACTCAGCTCGTCAAGAGGCTTTTGTGGAAGTCCTCCAGCTTTCATCCCGTCACCCGATTCCGTCCACACCCTTCCACCGCAAGATTACCTGCTAGATTTCAGTGACACTTTAGCCAAAATGACACAGCTAAACCGGATGTGTTTAAGGGAAATGAACAAGATAAAACAAAATTCTTCCTGTGGGAAAACGCAATAGATAGTTTAATCGATTCAATACCTGTCACAGCCACACAGAAACTGCACTTGTTGTACCAATATTTGGATGGTAAATCCAAAAGGGTTAGCGAACAACTCCAGTACCTTGTACAAGACCCAGACAACGCATAAAAGCAAGCACGTACAATTCTCAAGGAAAGCTTTGGTCATCCTGCGATTATCACTACCAGTTTTGAGAAAAAATTAGCAAACTGGCCAAAGATTCCTCCAAATGACGCGTCTGCATTAGAGGAATTTAGTGACTTTCTATACCAAGTTCAGATTGCAAGTCAGCACATGAGCGGCCCAGGAGTTCTCGGTTACCCATCGCAGATCCAAAGCTTCGTTGAAAGACTTCCCGGTTGGTTAAAGAACAAGTGCTCAGACAAGGTGCTGAAGCTACAAAAAAGGAATGGTAAAGATGATTTCCCCTCCTTTAAAGACTTTGTACAGGAAGTTCGTTATCATGCTGAACGGACAAACATACTTCAGATCGCTCTCACTTCAGGAACGAGCACCTCAACACAGTCAGACCACTCTAGGAACTTCAACCGTACACCCCGTTAACGATCTGCAAACAGTGCCTTTACCAGCACCCCTGCCACAGAACGTGATGGTGAGGTGACCCCTCAGGTCGAGCTAAACCAAACGTCGAATGTTCTTGTAACTTAAGCTCGGCAATAAGACCCTACCACCAGTCCGGAACTTAAAACCTATTGCTTCTATCACAAGATGAAATCTCACACTATAAATGACTGTGAACAGTTGCAGAAACTAAGCTATGACGAGCGCAAAAATTTCTTGTTGAGACACAGGGTCTGCCTAAAATGTGTCAGCTCTAACGAACATATCTCGAAGGATTGCAAAAGAGACAAGTTGGAATGTAAGATTTGTAAGCAGAAGCATGTTACTATACCGCATGACCCGATCAGACACAAGAAGAAACACACCAGTCAAACTAACTCCGCCTGTTCTCAAGTTTGCGGGCAAGGACAGCCAGCGCGATCCTGTGCTTGAATATTCCTCATCGAAGTCTTCCACCAAGACACTCCCCCAGCAAAGGTACCCACCTACGCAGTGCTGGACGACCAGTCGACAGATGTCTTTATCACAGATTTCCTTCTCGAAAAGCTTAAGGTCGAAGGCCAAGAAGTGAACCTTCAAATCAATACGATTACAGGCGTGAAGAGTGTCCGCACCAAGAAAGTCCATGGTCTGCGAATCCAAGACACAGAAAATCATCACAAGTCCATCAAGATTCCATTTGCTTATTCACAGGAGAATATTCTAGCTAGTAAAAGAGACATTGCGACACCTGAAATAGCCAGATCTTGGAAGCATTTGGAAGGGATCGCCCTTCACATTCATCACCGTTCCGATGTGCTTATTAATCGGCCGTAACATTCAGTCAACATTCCAGCCACTGCGCATTATTCATGTCAGCGATAATGAAACTTGGGCTGAAGAATACAAGTTCGGCTGGACTATCAATGGTCCTGTTTGTGTTGACAAGGAAAAAGAAACATTGAACTATGCCTCAGTAGACCGCATCACAGTACAAAGTGAATATCCTCAGAATGTTTTCACCATACCAAAAAGCAACCGTTACAAAGAAGAGTCCGTAGTGTCCTTCGCCACGAGACAGTACCTCAAAGACGTTACTTCGCCTCAGCAAGTAAGAGAGATGATGCAATTGGATTACAGTGAACTTTATCACGCCCGAAACATTCCAGGCACTGAGAAAGGTGAATCCGTAGAAGACAAACGCTTTAGTGAAATCCTTACCACTAACATACACAAAAATGAATTGGGAAACTGGGAGATGCCCTTGCCATTCAAAACATATGCTGTGACTCTGCCAAATAATCGCGAAAGATGTTTGAAGAGACTACTAGGCATCAAGAAAAAGTTCCTAAGAAATAGAGAACTATGGACCCATCACACCGAGTTTATGCAAAAACCTCTTCGACAGAAAACACGCCAGTCCAGTCCATCAGAGGAACTGAAGACCGAAGCAGGCAAAGTCTGGTATCTTGCGCATTTTGATATCTACCATCCAAAGAAACCTGACCAGATTGGGATAGTTTTTTATTGCAGTGCTGTTTTCGATGATCAGTCCCTCAATAAACTCCTCCTGCAAGGACCAGACATTATTAATGCTCTCATTGGTGTACTCTCATGATTTCGGAAAGAAGAGATAGCCGAAACAAGCGACATCGAAAAGATGTTCCATAGCTTCTACGTGAACTCTGAACACAGAGACTACCTGAGATTCCTGTGGTTCAAAGATAACAACCTGGACGGCCAAATCATTGAATATCGCATGAATGTCTATCTATTTTGGGCTGTCTCTTCGCCGGGCGTTGCCAACTTTGGTCTAAGAATAACAGCTGAAGCTGGTCGACAACAGTTTGGACCGGAGGCAGCGAATATCCTGCGAAATGATTTCTATGTGGACGATGGATTAAAGTCATTTGACACGCATGAAAACGCCATCAAGATTATCAAGAAAACTCAAGTCATGTGTGCAACCGTCAATGTGCGCTTACACAAGTTTGCCAGTAATAGTAAGACAGTGTTGGAAGCCTTACCAGTTGAAGATCGCCCGAAAGACCTCAAGAATCTAGATCTCAGGCATAATGTTCTGCCTGTCCTACGCTCACTGGGTACTTACTGGTGCATAGAGTCTGACACTATCGGATTCTGTATCTAGATCAGAGACAAACCCCTCACTCGCCGAGGGATTTTATCAACCGTAAGTTCAGTGTACGATCCACTGGGCATAGTGGCGCCAGTGATCTTAGTGGGGAAACAGTTGCTCCAAGAACTGTGCCGAAACGGCATCGATTGGAACGATCCTGTACCAGACCACATTCGTTCACGATGGGAAAAGTGGAGATCAGAGTTACCCCTTCTAGAGAATATCAAGATCCCAAGATGTGTCAAACCCCGCAATTTTGGTGAACCGGTTAGCACGGAGCTGCATAGCTTTTCCGACACCAGTGATGTAGGTTTGGGCCAAGTAACCTATTTGCGCCTTGTAAACAACGCGAATCAAGTACATGTCAGCCTCCTTATGGGTAAAGCCAGAGTAGCACCGCTAAAGTCTCTTTCCATTCCACGTCGTGAACTCACAGCAGCCGTGATTTCAGTCAATGTGGTGTCTATTCTTGGCAGAGAATTGAATGACATCGATTTAGTGAAGGTGTTTCATTCTGACTCCTCCGTCGTTCTGGGTTATATACGCAACGAAGCAAGACGCTACCATACGTATGTCTCAAACCGCGTTCAACAAATCCATGACAGATCGGATCCGACACAATGGCTCCACGTCTCCAGCTCTGACAATCCTACTGATATCGCCTCAAGAGGCATTACTTCCAAACAACTCTCAGAAAATGAACTGTGGTTCAAAGGTCCCGACTTCCTCTGGAAGAATTATGTGTCCGTGGTGAACCATGACCGTGCTCCTGATTTGAATCCTGAGGACCCGGAGGTAAAGAAATGAAAAGTAACAGCTCTTATTGCGAATCACGAAGTTGAGACTCGATCCCTTTCTGGGCCATAAAGGGATACTCAGAGTGGGGGGCAGACTCAAGAAAGCCGCCTTGGCCTTTGAGGTGAAACATCCAATTATCATTCCCAAAAAGAGTGATATCACAGAGCTCCCTATCAGACACTGCCACAACAGAGTTCAACACCACCAGGGCCGGGCATTGACTCAGAATGCGCTTCGCCAAAGCGGTTACTGGATAGTGAATGGTCGTTCTTCTGTCGGCTATCAACTTCAGAGATGTGTTACTTGCCGCAAGTTACGCGGGTCTGCCCAAGTCCAAAAGATGGCAAACCTACCTGAAGAGCAGCTTACTCCTGCCCCACCTTTCATGTTTGCAGGTATGGACGTCTTCGGCACTTGGTACATCAAAGAGGGTCGAAAGGAACTAAAACGTTGGGGTATAATCTTTACATGCCTATCATCTCGAGCCATTCATTTGGAAACGTTAGACACAATGGAAACATTCATTTATCAGTGCTTTCAGACACTTCGTCAATCGAAGAGGCAAAGTTAGGGAATTGAGATGCGACAGAGGAACAAACTTTGTGGGAGACAAAAACGAGCTTAGTGCTGCTCTGAAAAAAGTCAACACTGATTCAGTTAAGAACTTTCTCCTGATGCAAGATTGTGATCTGATCGAGTTCAGAATGATCGTGCCATCCGCCTCCCATATGGGCGGCGTATGGGAGAGGCTTATTTGCACCGTACGTCAGTTCTCACAAGTCTTTTGCAAGACCACGCTAAGCAATTAGATGATGAAGCTCTACGAACCCTGTTGACAGAAGCAGAAAACGTTGTAAATAGTCGTCCACTTACGACCCACAATTTATGAGATCCAGATGCGCTTGAACCAATCACACCGAACCACCTGCTTACTCTTAAAGCCAAAGTCGTACTACCACCTCCTGGTAACTTCTCGAGGCCAGATCTATACTCAAGAAAGCGGTGGCGTAGAATGCAGTACCTGTAAGATCAGTTTTGGCGTCGCTGGCAACGAGAGTATTGCATGCTCCTGCAAAAACGCCAGAAATGGAACGAAACCAGCCCCAACAGTCAAGTTGGTGATGTTGTTCTGATCCGTGACGAAACTTGTCCCAGAAACCAATGGCCACTTGCAAAAATTACGGAATTTTTTTTCCAGCGATGATGGTCTGGTTCGTAAAGTCCGTCTGCTTGTTACTCAATCTGGTACAAGAACGGTGTTTTAAAGGCCTATACACAAGCTCATCCTGATTCATCGAATAAGGAAGTACAAACCACCTGAGTACGACCCCGTCGGGGAGCCTGAACTGAAACCTTTAAATGTTTAGAACGTTTAAATTTTGTTTATGTTGTTCATTGTAATTTCATACATTCTTGCAATGTATGGGGGACCCATGTAACGCCTTCTCAGCTTTAGTTTCGTGACACATCACGTGACCTTTTAGATACGGGATTGTTGTATT